ATCAGGCTTATGCCTTTGTCGGTTCTTCTTCATCTTCCAATTAATTCATGCATTAATAATAAGTATACAAAACACTGGCAAGTCTTAGTGTGGGAGTTTTCTCATCCTCGGAGGTCGAGGTGGTGAATATTTTTGGTCCCGTCGTGTCCTCCTTTTTGGCTCTTATTTCTTTTCCCTCTTCACGCTTTTTTCCGCACTCGCGCCCACCTTCACAGCTCTGGTCATTGCCCGCGCTTTTCAGGGAATTGGTGCTGGATTCACCATCCCTTCTGCTCAGGCTCATGTCGCGATCTACTTTCCCTCACCCGCGGAGCGGGCGAAAGCTCTAGGTTTCTGGGCCGCAGCAGGCAGCGTGGGATTCATTGTCGGCCTCATCCTAGGTGGTGTTCTGACGGCCCTCATCAGCTGGCGCTGGATTTTCTGGATATCTCTCATTCTTTCTGCCATTGTTGTACCAACAGCCCATATCTTCCTTCCTCGAGCTAAGACGGCTCGTTCACCTGCTGCTCGTGAATCCATAAATGAGGAACAAGAGGAGAAGAAGCTGTTCCAGTCTATCAAAGCACGCCTAATTCGTTTCGATGTGCTTGGAATCTGTCTAGGAGTCCCTAGCCTGCTCCTACTGACTTACGCACTCACCTCCGCCAATACGGCAGGCTGGAGCTCACCATCGATCATCTCCACCTTGGTGATCTCAACTTTGCTACTCCTATTGTTTGTGTTGCACGAATCTCGAGCATCCCAGGCTTTGATCAACCCTCGCCTCTTTCGTCCAAGTTTCACCTTCACGCTGCTCCTAGCCGTGGCAACATATGCCGTCCGCCAGGCATGCTCCTATTTCCTTACTCTCCAAATCCAATCATATGGATCCTCACCTCTACACACTTCTCTCCTCTTCCTACCTGTCGGCATCTCTGCTTTGGTCACCAACACGATTGCGGGCCGTTTGGTCCCCATACTAGGTGCCCGAGCTATGTTCGTTATTGGCTGGGCCCTTTGCATCCCCGGAGTGGTATTGTTCAGCTTTATCACCAGTGAGACATCATATTGGCGCTTCACTTTCCCCGGCATGATCTTATATATCGCCGGTCTAGGCGTGGTATATATTACTGCAAATTTCGTGGTAGTGTCCAGTGCAAGCAAGAGTGACCAGGGGGTAGTAGCGGGTGTGTTTAACGTTGCTCTCCAGGTGGGAGGAAGTGTTCTGGGTCTCGCAGTACTCACAGCTGTTGCTGATGGTATTAACAAACAGTACGGTGACGGCAAGGCAGGAGAACTCAGCCTGGTTGGCTACCAGAGCGTATACTACTCATGCATCATACTGTGTGCAGTAGCTTTGGTGCTAAGCTTGATAATTGAAGTTCCAGATGCAATGAAAGGGAGCCTGTGGAAGAAGCCTGGGCAAGCTACGACGGAACAGCACGTCAAGACGGGACAGGAGACGGCGACACGGCAGATAGAGACTGCTATTGAGATGAAGTAATCGTATCCAAGCCTGGTTGACTAGAGATTGTTTATTGAAAATATATAAAAAAGGCTTTATACGTAGACCTTATCTTAGGTCTTGGATGTCTGATGTTGCTTTCTTGGTAGAATACACGTAACTATGCATGGAAGCCCACACCTACTGGATACTAAATTAGTAAACCCTGGTGGCACCATCAGTAATAATTTATGCCTGGACATAAGATGGATCCAAAGAGGTTCGTGAGACCAGTTCACAAAGCACAAGCGGCTTTCCGGAAATAAAGTCGTGTCAAGGACCTCCATGCTAATTTCGCAATTTCAGGCCAAACGATGGTGTCTGACATCAGCCTTTCAAACCTCTTGTCTCCACCATCTCACCTTTTCCCAGGTAATAATACAGCGATCGCCTAACACGATCTAATATTAAGCCCACCACAGCCCCGTTTCACATACATTCTTAGGTATGAGCCATTTATCTCACCGAAAGTCGTTCTCGTATCTGCCCAGTTCATCAAACTTCAACTTGTGGGCATGCGGGAGGCAGCAATGAAACGGAACTATTCCGCAGTGCTCAAGTCTAGCATGGCTCGAGTTTGCTAGCGACTTCATATTTCCTATCACGTATCATGTATAACAAACTAGTCATCATATAGGGCCCGTTGGTATAATGTGGCATCGGGCTGCTTGTATTATTTCTGGACAATCAAGGTTGAGTTTCGGAAAAGGGGCAAACGCTGAGTTTTCCGATTATGACATCACGTCATCAAGTCAATTGCCGAATTACTATTTATAGTTAGCTTTTTCGGGACGGGAAGTTTAGCAGGGGAAGAAATTTCAGCAGATGTTCCCCTCTTGATCTGGGAAGCAGAGGGGTGAAACTTTAGCTCCTGAAGCTTTTATTCTCTAAGTACCGTACGAAGAACTGTTATCGTTTAGTTATATTCTGGGTTTCTTTTTTGGTCCCGGCTCGTTTGGTGCATATGGGTGAGTATGTGTCGTGTATACCGTCGAATCCAGGGAATGGCGGCAAAGTAAATTCAAACAAATGTCAACATGTACATCGACAGCGTGTGCTATTCATTTCTTTTGTGTGTAGAAAAATAAAAAAATAAAAACCAAAGTCTTAATCTTTTCCTTTTCTGGGTTGCTTCATGATTGATTTGCTTTTTTATGTTTTCGGGGGGGTTGTTTCTAGTTTCGATTCGGGTCGTGATAAGGAGTGGCAGGGCGGGACGGGGGCTCGTTAAGGGAAGAGAAAATGGAAGGAAAACACATCAGGGTTCTTTTTTTTATTTGGTCTTGTACATTTATCCAAAAAGGAAACGGGGATTGGACCGCGCCCTTCTGCTGTGCCGTGTTGGGAGCGAGACACTCTAGTTCTCCTCCTTTGGCATACGCTTGCCCATGCTAGACAGGAGATTAGTATTCGGGCTATGCATAAGCTTATTTTGCAGGCGGAGGTAAACTTACAAGTCAAAGAAGGCAAACTGGCTGGGGTTGGGGCCGTATTCATACACGAAGCGGCTGGCAAGGTAACTACCGAAGATGGATCGGAGGTAGTTGTCAGGAATCTAAAAAGGATTATTAGCAACAGTCAAACAATCAGTCACTAGAAAGGGTTACACTTACGCGCTCCAAAAGAGTCTCCAGGCCAATCTTCTCAATGAGAAGCTTAGGAAGAGCATCCTTCAGGGTAGCCTTGCGGAGAGGAATGTTATCCCAGAGTTCGGACTTCTGCAGCTCTTCGTCAAGCTGGGTGATGGCTAGACTGAGAGTGTCACTGAGCACGCTGCGGGGAGTGCCGGTGAGCTCGTTCTCCCTCCAGATAGCCTCGAACTCCAAGCGAGCATTGCGCTTGATGGTCTCCTGGACCTCGCGGACGTAGGCATCGTAGAATGGTGGTGGGGTACCGTCCTTGGCGACACACATGTGTTCTGTGAAACCGGCATCGTCGAAGGAGAGGGAAGCAAGGACCTCAAGGGAGGAGGAGGTGACACCACCCTTGTTGGAAGAAGCATCCTTGTAGATGACACACCCGGCCTTCTCGAGACGGAGCTTGGAGTCCTGGGTGACGAAAAGGTTGGCACCCTCAACGATGAATGGAACAACGGACTTGCCATCGACGATGAGGCTGGAAACATTGTTAAGGTTGATGGACTCTGGACGGCCACCGCAGGGAACGAAGATGTCGTAGTTACCAGGGCGAAGGTGGTAGGTGTTGCGGAAGGCAGTACCGTTGTTAACGACCTCGCCGGATGGGAGAGTGACGTTACTGTCGTCGCAAAGAACACGGTATCCGTCCTTGGACAGCTTGGAGGCGTCGTATTCGCAAATCATCTTTCTGGTGTGAGCAAGACGAGTGAGCTCCTCGCGATCGAGGCCGTTGGGGTCAGCGAGAACACCAGATCCGTCAACAAATGGCAACGTACTGCTCCTTTCCGAGCAAGATACCGTTGGAACCGAGATCTCCATCAGGTCCACCAGTCTGGAACATACGGACCTTGGTCTGGTCAATGCCCATCTTGCGGTAGATACCCTCGACGTTCTCACGCACAGACAAGGTGGTCATAGCGAAACGGTCGTGGGGGATACCACCGAGCTTAGGGCTCTTTCCAGTGAAGAAGGACTTCCACCATGGAGCACCACGCTTGCGAGCATGCTCAGTGGCCCAGTTAACGAGAGGAGCAGAGTTCTCGTCGGGACCCATGAAGAGGATCTCATCCTGACCGTGGAGGTCGACGATGGGGTCCTTGATTCCAGGGCTGACTGGTGGAAGGAGGAGATCAAGGATACTGTCAATATATTTGTGGAAAGCGACAGCGACCTTGTCCTGGTGGTTGACATCTAGAAGCAGGACACCCTTGGCACCGCCCTCGGGAATATCCTTGTTCTTGCGCTGCTGAGTGTTTGCGAGGTTGTAGTTCTCGTCGAACAGAGAGCGAGCGTTGATAGCGTAGGCCTCCTTGTCGCGGGACTTGACAATACGGATACCACCACGGGCGATGTCTCGGAATCTGAGGTGGAAGCCACGGAATTCTGAGCTGATGATGATGAACATGCCGTACAGAGGGTCTGGGTATTCATGCTTGGGGAGGAAGTCCGCGCTGAGACGGAAGCTGAGGGCGACCTTGGTGGGGGTGTAGAAGTTGGTCTTAAGGACGGCGGCGTTGAAGGTGAGGAAGGACTGCATGACCATTCTGTCGTTCTCACTAACGACGGTCTTGGAGACAAGCTCCTTCAATTGTTCGGCATTAAGAACCTCATCGACCTGCAGACGCAGGTAACTGAGGGTTGGGAGGAAATCATCCTGGGCCTCGCCTCTAGTCTGGACGTAGTGAGTGTTGGCGAAGTTGAGGTAGAGTCTGTGGATGAGATCGGGGTACTTGTGGATGATCTCGAGGATGTAGTCGGAGGTGAAGGTCTCGGAACGGAGGCGCTTCTTAAGCTTGGAAAGCAGCTCAGCATGTGCACTGTTGCTCGAGTCCAAGATGGCGGCGAGCGAGGTGTACTCAGAGCCGAGACGGTTGAGGAACTGCTGGACGAAGACCCAGACGCAGTGAGCATAGATGGTCTCCTGCAAGCTCAAACGGCCGCTGATGAAGTGGCTCTGGAACTTGTTCTGGGGGATACAGTAGAGGAGGGAGATTTCCTTGAGGATCTGGTGGACAGCAGCCTCAATTGGAGGGTGTCTGCTGGAGGTCTCGGAGCCAGGAATTGGGCGGAGGTAGAGAGACACGATGGTAATGCCGTTGGAGAAGTTCTCGAGGTACTTGCGGGAGCTGGTAAGGCGGTAGTAGTGGTACAGATCCGAGAGGGCAGAGAAGAAGCCCATGGCAGAGCCCTGACGGTAGGCAATAACGAGTCTCTTCTCGCGGCTGCCTTCGATCTCAAACATCTTGATGACGGGGCCGGAGCGGGCAACGGCATTGATTAGGAGCTCCTGGTAGATCGCCTTGGTGTTTTCGGTAGCCTTCTGCAGGAAGAGCTTGTCACCGACGACCTCAATGTTGGTCTCCTCGGGGTCAGGGTTGGGGTTGGCGAATTGACACTTGTAGACAAAGTAGCAGCGGAGCTGCTGCTCGCTGTTGTCTGGCAGTGGGCTGGAGGAGCGGAAGGTCTCGACGCGGAAGCTGTCGGTAGCTGTAGCTCCGTTGATGTACTTCTCATCGATACGCTGCTCGTAGCGGGGGCCATCAGTGGTAGTAATGCCGGGTCTGCTGGTGTCGATGTAGACGGCGTGGTCCTCGGCCTCCTTGTCGAGTCTGATCTCTAGCCGCTTGTCGTCACGGGCGTAGGCAGCCACCTTAGCAGCATAGAGGGAGAGGATATGGCTGGCAATGACTTCGACGGTCTCGGTCTGGAAGTACATGTCGTCAATTCCGAGCAGGTTGTAGAACCAATTTGTCTCGGAGGCCACGAATTCGTATGGAATGAAGCCATTGTTCTCCAATTGCTCGGACACTGTGTGCAACCCCGCGTTAGTATTCGGACAGTTTCAGAACAATACACATTTTGAATGTATTCAACAATTCCAATTGAGCTCCTATTGTCACGTACCGGCAAGCATCTGTGCCTCCTTGCCCTCGAACTTGGCTGCCACGTAGCCGGGGCCCTGCTCGGCCAGGACACGGTGAGGGCCTCCAGGGATACCGAGATGGGTGGGCTGGGGAGATGGCTGGCGGCCTGGGGTGCGCACAACGGTTTCCAGCTGCTTGTTCAGAGGACGCTGGAAGCCCGTAGGCGTGCCAGAGCCGTTCTGGGGAGAGTCCGACATCTTTTGCGGTCTGGTTGTGTTTGGTTCTTTTAAAACGTCTCCTTTTTTCTGTCTATCGTCGTTGTCTCAAGTCTATAAATCGAATTGCAGCTATAGGAGCAGCGAGATGGGGGACTGTGTAGAGCACGCAGCCATGGGATAGCGGGCAGGTGAAGGTGAAGGTGAGAGATGGAGAAAAGGTGAAGTCGTGAAGTTGAGGTTGAGGTAAAGTCGGGGGGAGGAGGGGCAAGTAAAAAAGGGCAGGAGCAACGGGCGGTAGAGCTCGCCTTAATAAGCAGTTTCGCGTGGGGCGGCTAGCGGAGGCAACAGCGAAGCGCCGGCGGCGGAAAGACGGAAAGCGTCGGGACAAGCTGAGCGCACCTGACTTAAGCCATGGTGACTAAGCAGTCATGTGTCGTGAAAAAATCAGCGCCCCGTGACTTTTCCATGCTTATTAAGCATCTAGACTTTTAGCTTTTTTGCTTTTTTCGACCTCATCGCATCGAAAGCGACAAAAAAAGTCGATGCAAAGAGAGCGACGCGGAGTGACGATGGGGATGGAGATGGGGATGCAGAGACGAAGGCCGCGGGCGTTGCTCTCAAACTCGCCTTGTCGCGTTAATTCTCCGACAGGCCAGGCAGTGGGACGATCCAGGCCGCATGACACAGTAATCTTTCTCCCTCTCTCTTTTGCCGTCGCCGTCGATGTCAAACACACCGTGCTCGCCGTCCACTGTGGGCTGCTGTCTGGCCGCTACGGAGTATACGCTGGAGCCAGCCAGGACTATGGATGAATAGTATTACGACTATTGCTTAGACAGACAGGCTTGCGGAGACGGTGAGAAGCCCACGAGCAGGCAAGATCCTTCGCAGCTGACGGCGAGAGGCGACTCTAGACCTTCCTCGCTTCGACGGCGGCGTGTTGGTTGGTTTAGTTTGGCCGTCGTCGTCGTCTTCCTGTCTGCTGATCTGTTTCACCAGGGGCACTGTCGAGGGAAGCTTTCAACCGTCGTTCCTCAACAAAGACAGGTCTCTCGGGCGATCCAGACAGACAATGACTTACCGATCAAAGACAGCGACTTACCGATCAGAGACAACGAGACCGCAGGCTGGCCAGCTCACTTACGGATAGCGACCTGTTCCAGGCCTGTCTCGTTTGTTGTTGTCCCTTTTTTTCTTTTATTCTAGTTACTTTTGTTGGCCGGCAGTTGATCGGTTGGCCGTTTGTCCACACGGGACGGACATATAGACACATACTTAAAAAGAGCCCCCAACACTTCATTCATCTGCTGTCACACCGTCAACGTCTTTCTTTCTTTCTCTCCTCACTCCCTCCTCGATGCACCCCAGAGCAGTCTTCTTTATTCATCACCTCCGCAAAAGTAGATCACTCTGGGGTAGCTCGAGCTCATCTATGGACTATTGAAGCCTCGAGACTTAATAGTACGATCTGTCGTTTACAGAGCAGTCGCAGGTCCAACCTCAACAAGATTGCCTTGTTCCCGTCAAATCGTACCTTGATCGCCCAGCTAGAAGCCTGGCCCCCGGAAGTTAAGTGTACATACGCATATGCAGGCCGAATCACCACCAGTCGGTCTTTTTTCTTCCTTCTTCCATGTACGGATACATGCACGATTGAGTACATAGGGCGTATCCTCCCCCCCATCACGCAATTGCATTGACATCCCCAGCATCCTCCCGCTTCTACTTACAGGAGACGGAAGGCTGAAGACAGACAGAAAGGCGAACGTCTACGGAGTACTCAAAGCACTTACTTACTCCCTTTTCTCCTGTCCCTTTCTCCCTTTCCCCCGTACGCTCCATCTCCTTTTTCCCCCCTGACGATGTAACCAACGCCTCCTCAAACAAAAGGGTGAAAACTGGGGAAACCCCAGCAACCGGTTGGCTCTGCCGTCCGTCTCTCGTCTTCTTTTCTTTTCTTTCCCCCATCTCTCGTCTCTTCTTGTCTTGTCTTGTCATGTCTTGTCCTCTGCCTCGCCTTCGCCCCCTTCTTCATCCCTGACACCACGTTCGGACCGGTCGACGGGCTGACAGGCTGACGGGCTGGCGGGCTTGCGGGCTGACGGGAGCTGGACTTGGTAGCCAACCGGATACTGCGCAACCAAATCCAGCCTCAGCAGCCATACATGAGTATTATACAACTACACCACCACACACACTGCATCCATCCACTCAATCCATACAATTCAGCAGCCCTCGCAGAGCAAATATAAATTAAAAATATAAATCCCTCCTCGTATCCTCACCTCAGCCAGTCATGGAAAAGACGCGCTGGGCGGAACGTCCGGACTTGGTCACATCCTCCGTTTGAACCGTAGTTTTTATTATTCACTATTATTACATTTCACCTCCAATGCCCTTGAGGACCTTGTCTGCTGCCCTGGTCTAGTTCTGCGCATCGCGAGCTAGTCAGCATGGCTACTGATTCCTACCTGGATGGCAAAGTCCGTACCTTGCTGACTCGCTCGCTAGTTCTCAAGTACGGAGTATCCGACTCTAGAAAAGTCCATGGACGGAGCAGGTTGCCGTGTTTCATCTTTTTGCTTCTTCGTCTCTTATGTTCTCTTGTTTTTTTTTTTTTTTATTTTATTTTCATTACTTGATGGAGATGCCTTACCAAGGGTACTTCTGGGAGGAAACGAGAGAAGCGCTTCTTGCGACGGAACTTGCGTGTTGGTTCGTCTGCCTCATCCGTCCCCCTTTTTTTATTATTGCAATAATTACCTTGCAGGCTTATCTTTTTCTTCTCCCTGGCGTTATTTATTTCTTCCAGCTTTGGTATTTAAAGCTTTGTCTCTTCCGCTTCTCTGGGAATTTCTTCTTTTCTTCTTCCCTTCTCTTTCTCTTCCCCAGACTTTTCTTTCTCCGCATTTTTTGGGACGCTGAAACCTGGAATCTAAGAACAGAGTTATATAGCCTCACTTAGCCGGCCAGCTATTAAACAAGCAATAGCTACCAGACAACCATCAGTCCAGTCTATCAATCAATACATTCGTCACCTCGTTGATCGTCGAGAACTTTCGTTTGCAAGATATCATTCTCTTCAGCCAAATACCAACGGGCAGGATCCCCTTCCATCAATCAAATATATCTTCGGCCAATACCATAACCACCCAAATAAAAATCTCCAAATGGCTTCAACCATGACTCAGTCTCCTCATTCCTCGCTGCCTCACACCATGCATCCTTTCTCAAGCACCGGTGCCAGCTCAACCAGCTCAAGCTCGAAGCAGCTCTCGGTCTCCACGCTCAGCCTCGACATCCAGAGGGCCATGCAATCCTCCTCCAGCCAGCCAAAGTATATCTCTGCTGGTAACAACGACTTCGAGCACCCACCTCCACCTCCTCCATCACCAGTCGGCTTTCCCTCCGCCTCAACCAGCTGGAGGTAGAGTCTAATTGGACAAACAACCTGGACGAATCAAAATGATATGTCCCCCGTCCTCACATTTCGGGTACACGGTCGATGACCAAATGTTCAACCTTTCAGCTGCTTTTTCTTTCTTTTCCTTTCGCAATTATAATCTTAATTCGCATCTGGGTCGGGATAGAACGGAGTTGTTTGTTTAGATGGCTTTCAGCTTCTTTTCTTTTCTCTTTTTTTTTTTCTTCCTTCTCTTGATATCCCTGCCCAACGAGCTGGTTTCTTCAGGTCTTTCTCTTTCTCATACTGTTTTTCAGCGAGCTCCTTGTTTCCTATATTGCTTTTGTTTCTTCAACACAATACTCAGCCACAGTATAACAGTCTGCTTGCTTCTTTTCTTTCTCATCCGTCAGTCTGAACACATGGCCTCCTGACTGGGTATGCAGTGTCTGCGACGTCAATGACAGATAATTATTTTTTTATGGATTATCCTCAAATAGCCGTATTTTCTCAAGCCCGAAATGGATTCGTAGCTGGCTATTGAAATCAATGCCCAACGCAGTCGAGTAGTCATAGGGCTGTCCAGAAAAGATTCCTCAAAACCCAAAAGGGCCGCGTCAGGAGCCTGCAGGCTCACTGGCCGTAGGCGTTGTAGATCCCGTCTGCACCCCAGACCCACGACTATCCTGGTTCGAAACCTGGCCACTGCCGCTCCGCTCAGCGTACATCCGCTCCAACGCCTGCAGTGCATCCCCATCACCTTCGAGCGCCAACTTATTCAACCTCTCAGCCTCCGCAACAGCCGCTTCAACCCTGTTCCACCCCGCAATCTTTTCCCCTTGAATTTGACTCTTTTTTAATGGAAACACAGTCCTGACAGCATCGGTTTCGCCCCTGGCATGTTTTGCCTTCGCCAACCGCGCCAGGAATCGTGCCTGGTTACTCACTGCCATCCTGGATGCGTCACCCAGATCATTGCCGAACACGCTTTGGCTGTGGCCGCCCGCGCTGGATATTAGATTGGCTTTTTGGCCCACGATTCTCACCCGGCTGGCGCTGAGGAGCTCACTGTTGTCTTCTTCGTTTCGCCAGAGCGGGGGGGTTGAGCTGGGCAGTCTCTCGGATGATCGTGTGAACATCAGCTCGGTTCCTATCATATCCGCCCAGGAACAGCTAAATATCTGGTTGCCATATGAAATTATTGGGTTGGAGGAGTGAAGGTCCATTATCTGGACTCGGCTTTGTGACTCTTGCTCTTGGTCGTTGTGATCTTGCCCTCCATCACCATCCATTGACGGTGTCATGGAGGGGTCAATTGGAGAGTGGATTGGAGTCGAAGTAGATGATCGCTTTCTCGGTGGCCGTATGAGCCCGTTAACCGAGGATAGTTCGAGGTTAACATACACTGTCTACATTTACATCTGTTAGCAACCAGTCCAACGTAAGCTGCGGCCTCACGTACCTCTGTTTCAAAAGGGTCATACTCATATTCATATTCGTACTCTGAATCATCGCCATCTAGGTCCATAGATGTATCCTCAGGCTGATCCATGGCTGCGAATAGCAACGCTGCCTTGTCTGGTATCTTTCAGTGTTCACGGCGTCAACGAAGGAGGTCAAAAAGTCGCGTGTTGAGCCGCAGCCGACTTTTCAACGCCAAGTTACGTCATCAACAGAAAACTACCTGCCTATCTAGATATAACCACTAGTTACTATAACCAAATGCCTACACTCCATATCAATTCAATATCGATGTCCCCCAGGTATTGCGATAGATGTGATCAGTATCATAGGCTCATGGATAAACTAAAGATACGTTATCATTTACGGTTTCGGTTTAACCTATTGAATAATCATGAAATCTCAAATCACATTCTATGTGTTGTACGAAAAAGATCAGATCTACCCCTAAGTAATGCGTGGACATGTTAACGATCTACTGCTCGATATACTGATATCGAGGTCGTGGAGGGTCATGGAGGGTCATGGAGGTAGAATAATAAGCTATGCAGAATAAAAATGAAGCGACAATCAGCAATGCTGATCTCCAGGTAAATTTATCAAATATGTAAATTCAGATATACAGTCATCACTTATACAGGCTAATGGAAACACCATTGCCCTAATAATAATAATCACACCGCAAGAAAGTGAAGATCCGTACAATAAAATAGACAAAAACAGCAAAAGATTTAAGGAGCGAAGGAGGAAGTGATCCTCAGTGAAGAAATGACAGGACGCAGATGCAGGCTAGACAAAGGAGAAGAAAAGGTGACATGCATGAACTTTATGTACTTAAAGCGAAAGGATAGGTTTATTTGCTAAGGAGTGTGAAAGCAATAGAGGTCCGAGGAGGGAGGGAGAGAGGGAGGGAGGGAGGGAGTGAGAAAGTGAGTCAGGAGTCAAGAGTCAGGGGGAAACCTCAGTTCGAGGGCGCGCGGCTATGCTATGTATGCAAGATGAGAAATTTTTGTCGCAGAGAGAGACGGCAGTATGCAGGAATGCATGAGTAAGGAAATGTTTCGGAAATGTAATATGATGACGCCTTAACGCAGCAAAGACTGGTTCTGTTGGTGAGGGTGATTCGTATAGGATATATCGCTTCCGGCACTCCGTGGTCTCTCGGGGCTACCGCCACGGTGCTGGACTAGTCGGTCTGTGCTCTCGCTGTAGCCGTGTCTTGGCTTGGATGGCGGTGTGTCATGGTAAGGCTCATAGCGGGAGATGTGGTTTAGCTTGCCAACTTCCTCATCCTGCATGTACCCGTGTGCTTTGGGCTTGAGCAGAATGGAATCCCGAGGGTCAAGGGGGGTTAGGTTGTCTAGATCTCTGTCGAAGTTTTCTGTGGACATGTATGTTAGTGGTGATTGATGGTAAAGGGAGCAAAGAGTATGCTTACGTTTTTCCTTGTGACGTTCCTGATGCGGGTTCTTGCCAAACAGAGCCATTATACCATTGATCAAGATAAGGATACCCAGAATCACCGCAAGAGTAGTCTGGACAGCAAGCAGGGCAACGCCGGTGACGGTCTTGGTTGTCTTGGAGATGCCGAACTCGTCAACAAAGACGATAATGCATCCCACGGACAATACCCGGACAACCTGTATAGAGATATTGATCCATCGGCCAGACTTGGTTTCGAAAGGACGGGTCCATAGCAGGAGAATAAGCATGAGAGCCTCAACAAAAAACTGACCAGCAGACTGAACGAGGCCATGTCCATCTCCGCCAGCAATCACACAACCACGGACGAAAAGGTAAACGATAACAGGCACAAAAATCCACCAGTAATCCTTCTTGTAATGATCATAAAACAGGCTGTACTTGCGCCAGGCTTCCCGATCCTCGAATAGAGCCGAAGCGGTTCCCTCAGTCTTCTTAAGGCGTCGGGCAAGAGACCAGATGCGGAAAGTAAAGTATCCAAGGATAGCGGTGAAGACTGTAAGGGTAACCGCTGCAAGCGCTTTGGCTGCCCACGAGTCACCACGAGTGAATTGGAAGACGCAGTAGAGGGTCCAAATTCCGTAAAGCAGAAGAATCAAGTTGGTAATAGTCCTGGCAAGGAATCCCCAGTAATGTTGTCTAAAGTTCGACAAACGCTCTGGGAACGTGGCGTAGAGCGCCCAGAACTCCAACAAGACCTTCCCCAGCAATATACCTGCAGCAATTGCAGCGATGACTATAGCAAAGATCACTAGAACAGTCATGAATGTATTGGCCGCTGGGATGGAGAGTTCTTCGACGCCCTTCTTGATGCCGCTGAGCCGGCTGTTGACTTCCTCCTGTATACCGCGGGCCACGAGCTGGGTGTGGTGGGATGTGAAGTCGAGCGAGCGTTTCTCAGTAGTACCATTCGTGGCATTGTTATGTGTCTGTAGACTCTGAAGATAGGCAACGCTGTTTTCCGTGAGATTTCCGCCAGTGCTATTCCGGAAGCTATCGATAGATACCTGCAGCTGTGTCCAGGGGAAAAGGCCGAGGCTGAAGCTAAAGTTTTTGGTAAAGCTCCGATAGACGGGAGGATAGTCCACACTGAGTAATCCGTTCATTGCAATGGCCTGGAAGACGCCCATAACCTGAACGAAAGATGGACTTACGCCAGGGGCTCCTGGGTGAGCGGCGGCACCGGCAGCACCAACGCCAGAGACGGCGAGCGCGGCACCGGAGATTCCATAGGCAACATACGACACCATCGGGGTGTGTAGGGAGTTTCCATTCCCAACAGTTGACTGGATGCAAGAGAGTTCATTGTTGCTATCTTTGCCATTCAATTTCATTGTAGCTTCGGCATCCAAGTCTGGTACCGCAAAGGCAATAGATGGTATCCTCGCTCCAAACTCCTCCGAAATCGTTTGCTCACCTTTGGCGCTAAAGGTACCAGCAGGCACTAAACTAACTGTCAGTACCCCTGATTTTATGCCTCCTCTGTTGAGTTGAAAGCAGGATATACATACCAGGACAGAGTTGCTCTATGAACGTGTTCGACGCACATGGGTCAAGATTCTGAGTGAATGTCTGTCCGTAGGCAACGATCGTAACGGTTGCAGTAACATTTTGTGTTTTGCTGTTTACACCAAAGAAATCGTATGTGACCGTCTTTGCTGCGCGGTTAAGTACGAAATCCAACCGTTGGATCTTGATGTCACTGTTATCGAGGCAAGAGGTGAACCCGTTGTTCTTCAGCACATCTCCAGCAAGCGTAAGTCCGGCGTTTAGAGACAGGAATGCCCACGCAGCGGTGGTCAGGGATGTGAACTTCATTCTGCTGAAGAACGAGTCGAAGCCGTATAGGGGTCCAAAAGGGGGAGTGACCGGCCCCGACAGGCCACTTTCGATGGGCGAGGGAGATTGTAACCGAGCGATGGACGAGAAATGCGTACGTGAAAGTCGAGATGTATAGAAAGCGAGAGGCGAGGACAGTATTGAAAAGCAAGAGAACGACGGGAAAGCGTTTGCTAAAGGACTGTATGACTAGCAGGGTCAACCCGCATAGTACGATGCAAAAGACGGTCAAAAATGAAAAGTGCTGATTCTATCCTTGCGCGCGAAGAACATGAGATAAAACGATAGAACAAGACGAAGACTGGTTCAGCATAGGCGTCCCTAAGGGGCTAAGCGATTGGCCGACTGCCCATAACCGGGGAAGAAACGAAGGGTAGGGGGGAAAAGGGCGGTTGTTGATATCAAGAAAAACCGCTTTCCAGCTAAAACTGATATACACAAAGACGACACAAAAGAAGGTTAAGGGCAGACGGAGATAAACAAGAGAGGGACTTTTGTTCTTGTCGCAAGAAAAGTATGCGGTATGGTGACTGTTTCAAGAGTGCCCTTTGAAAAGGCCTTTGGGGGGACGAAGAGCAGAGCAACCGTCGGTGATTGGAGAGCGAGGCACCTGGATGGCAACACGTCGTTTCTCCGGACAAGAATATTTAGCGGGCCCAATGCAGAGAGCAGCCACTCGCAGGCCGTCACTGTTCCCCTTTTGCTGGCAAACCAAGACATTCACAGCGTTATGATGGAGCTTAAGGGGGCCATCTTTCGCGCTGGCCTTCAGTCATGCATCCGCCACGTATCCACAGAGGCACCATCACATCGCTGCTAGTGGTATGGAGCATGGCGTATCTGTCACTCTTTGATCGTGCAGTAGTTTCGATCCAACATACCATACTCCGTATATTCGGTCGTATATTTCGAAGACGTTGCTGGTGGACGAACGAGGCCAACAGCAAGAAAATGGTAAGCTGCAAGAACATGCGAGCTGAATGACGGACCGGGATACACCCAGAATTAAGGATTAAGAAACGTAAGAAAACCCCTGGGAAATTGGCGGGTCTGATCCACCGTAGGGCAGGCGGGAAGCTAGACCACAAGCCACAGCCACGGCCAAGACGGTTCTGGCCTGGACTCCCTCTCGTAGTCGAACCGCTGAGGGTTGAGGAAAAAGGGCCTGCCGGCGTTCTTTTCCGTCGTTTGTTCGTTCGATTGGCCCTGCCAACTAGGAGAAGGGAGATTTTTTCCGGTGTATGCCTTCATTGGCATACCATAAATCACTCCAGCAGCCTTTAATTAAGGGCTCCGAGCCGCCCTCTGCCGTCTACCCTGCATGGATGAGGCCGTGAACAAACTTGACGAGTAGAATAAGGCATCTCCAATTTTATGAATTCGAGGACCGGAACGGGGAACGGGGAACTCCATTCTTAAACAAGTCTGGAATACATATACATTTCGGCATCTTCGATACTCCGTACGGAGCAGTGTTGTAGTACATATTGCTGGCTTGGTTGGTAGGGGAGTCCACTCCTCCTTGTCTCTTCTTTTCCCTCCTTTTTTGCCCGAAGAGCAATATAATTATTGGAGAACGCAAGTTACTTCTGAGCCTTGCTCTGCTGCTCTCGCATAGCTGCTCTAGCACTACGACTTCCCCCGAGCTTCGGTCCACGTGGTGCATCCGTCTTTGACGTCTTGGTGTTTCGGGTACGGGCTCCGCGTCTTCTCGAGTGAATGGCGTCTAGGAAGTCTCTACGGAACTGATCTGCGATTCGATCATCTGCAGCCTGATCGTCCTCGTCTGGGTGGCTCTGGGGTTCTTCATAGACATCGACTTATCAACCCAACTATGTTAGCATACTACCTCCTGCTAGTGTGCGGGGTGTGCAAAGGCAAACGCCCGCAAGTGAAAAAAAAGGAAGCAAAGAAAAATATGACAAACTTACGTTTACTTTCGCGCAAGACTTCTTCTACAAGTCGATCGCGCATTATATCCTCGCTATTACGTCTCCTCCGTCCGCCGCGAGTCGGTTTGCCTTTGTTCACCGTCTCGTCGTCTTCGGGAGCTGCGGAATCACCCTTGGCAAGGTTCCTGGTCGCAGCCTCTGTCCTAGCGATGTTCTGGAGCTTCGAGTCCGGTCCGAGATCTATCTCGTGTAATTTGCCTAGAGTTGCAGGCTGCCTCTGTGGAAGGTGTAGGTCTGCAGCAGGCGTATGTTCCGCGCCGTGCCGTAACTGGCTCTGGCTCTCTGCAGGATCAGAAGGATCATTGTTTTCTGACGGTAACGTCCCATGGCGACGTTTTGCCATCTCAGCCTCTATAAACGCCATCCTTATCACGTTAGCTATTGCACTTGTAATACATTGCTAGGACAGGTGACAGAAAACCGGCAGGAAAAGGGTATGCGTACATATGCTTGTCAACATCGACTTTTTGACCTGAGTGTCCAACAAACCTGTCTGATATAGCGTTTAACCGGCCCTCGGCCGCAGTCTCAGCAGCCGGCACAAGAGCATCACTCCGTGACGAACGGGACGTCGAGAACTCGATGCCACCCTTCTTGGCCCTGTTCTTGCGAAGTCGCACTATATCAGCGACTCCCGTCTCGTCTGTTTCCACGCCATCTGGAGCCGATGTTGCCAGTGTATCGGGCGCAATCACGGTTGATGCCTTCGCTTCTGCTTCGTTTTCGGGTCTCGTATCGTCAGCTCGTCGGCGCATGAACTTCCGTCTCTTGGCAGGGTTGAATAGGGGCGCATCGACATCCATGGTGAATGACAACAGGGCAGTATATCTCGTTCTGCTGTGTTTCTGTTGAGTTGAAGGTGATGAATTTGGAGTCGATTCACTTCGATTTCTTTTCGCCTCCGCAGTAAGTTTCTGATTATATAAAGATTATATAATCAAGAGCTTCGTTGCATAAGTTTGGGAACACATAAAAGGTAAAAACGACAACGACGAGATGAGGTGGAAATGAAATGAACTGAACAGTATCTGATACGAGATGAAGAGATAAAAGAATTAACGGATGAAGAGGTGAAAGAGCATAGTGAGTATAGACGTGAAGCTATATACAAATTGTTTATGAATAACCAAACCCGCAGTAGCCACCCTTTTGCAAGTGCCCACCAATATACGCCTATCCAATATCCAATAATGCAGAAGAAGATCGATCAGCTCAGGGCCACCTTAGCACCATATTTGCTGGAGCAAGTGACGGTAAGTAGCTCAGTCCATGGATGCGAGTCCCTTGACTCAATGTTATTGAAGGTCTGCATGATTCTAATCGTAGCGTAGGAAGCTTCGGTAAGCGCAAATTGCTCTGAGACACAACTGTTAGCATACGAGTAGAGAAACGGCAAGGAATATAGAATACATACGGCCAAGGCAGATTCTGGGACCGCCGTTGAAAGGCAGATAGCCCCAGCCGGGGCGGAGGGTCTCCCATCGCTCGGGCTTGAACTCGAGAGCGTCTGGGCCGTAGACGTCCGCACGGCGGTGCATGGAGTAGGCACTATATACGACAGTGGTCCCCTTGGGCACAAACACGGGAGACTGGCCGTCTGGGCCGCCACCGCGCGGGAGGATAGTGTCCTGGATGGCACTGCGAGAGTTGCCTGGCACAACGGGGTAAAGTCGAAGAACTATATCTACTGTTAGACTGATATAAAAGGCTAAAAGGGTAAAAACGAAGAAACGAACGCACCTTCGTTTAAGGTGAAGCGGAGATACTTCATGTTCTTGATCTCTTCAAAAGACGGAGCCCGACCGTTAAGCGTCTGAACCTCAGCCTGAAGTTTCTCCCATACATCCTGACGTTTCGATATAGTGTTCCATAGCACGCTAAGCAAACTAGCAGTGGTATCACGGCCGGCAAGGAGAATGTTCATGAGCTCCGATCTCAGCATCATCGGATCCTGAGTCTCTTTGACCAGCTCGTCCAAAAAGACATACCGACCAGACTCGTCAGCAATTTCTCCGGTCTTCTCACGCGAGTTGTACCGTTCAATGCCCTTCTTGACATAATGGTCTGCAAAGGTATGCACGTCCTTTACGCCCTGCTTGTACTCCTTGCTCCTCCAGCTGGACGGCAACCCGAACCTGAAGCGCTTTCCAATGTAGCCGGTGCAGAAGTCGAATGACTGGCCAAAGATATCGCCCTTCGGAGCGGTGCTGCGGTGGCCGGACAGAGTACTGGCAGACTCGCCAAAGAGGAACTCTGTGGCAGAGTCAAGTGTCATGCCGAAGAAGAGGGGCTGCAGGTCGACGGTCGAGCCGTTAGTGGGAATCAGCTCGATGAGCTCGCGGACATGGCGCTCAAACATGTTCAGGTCTGCGATCTGGGACCGCGCAAAGTTGGGCCGCAGCATCGCCCTGGAGTGTTCCCAGTCGCCGCCATCGTTGGTGAAGACGCCGTTACCAAAGAGCTCGCGGAAGCCGGGCTTTGCGGCGCAGCGGCAGCTGGGTAGTCGTTGAACTTGACAGCCAAACACCGTCTTAACGTTCTCAGGCTCGCAAGTCGAAAATACTTGCAGTCCTCGGGCTGTCCCGTCTACAACCAAAATAGCAAATATGATACGTACTGGGTAGGCCGGTGAGCTTGCTGCTAAATGTGTTGCCGTACTTGAGGTATCGGTTGCGAATATCCTCGAGAAAGGAGTCGTTCTTGTTACTCTTGATGGCCTCGAGAACAAGCCCCAGGCCAAAGATAGGGTCAAAGTCGGGATACGCCGGCGGTGCCTTGAACCATGTTCCTTCGCAGCGCGACGGCGAGCGAGCGTTGTCTGGATGTACAGGGAGAACTTGTAGAGGATGAAGCCGCCGAGCAGCAGCCAGCCCAGCGACAAAGCCAACATTTTTATTGCGCACTTGAAAAGAGGAGTTTATTTTAATCTTAAAATGAGAGAACAGCGAATACTCCGTACCGACGAAGATCTTATAAAGGCAGGACGAGAAAAAAGGGAGCCAGCTGAGCGGGCGTCGCTGTATATAGTATAGAGCCAGTCAGGTTCACGGATGCACCGAGAGTCACCCAGGCCACAGCATTTCTCTGCAGTTCAATAGTTACACTTCGCCAAAGTCTCTCGGCTGTCGGTTGACTTCACATGAAACATGACTGGCTGAAGAATAATAAAGGCTACAAAGGCTCAAGACACGGAGCAACGTGCAAGCCGTCTCGTCTCGCCGTCTTGTCCGGCCTGGCACAACTCGCTGCACAACAGCGCATAACTCGCTGATCAACCTGTCAATTTGTCCGGCCTGCCCGTCATTTTTAGCACATCGATAGCTGCAGAAGCCTGGTGCAAGACAGCCACGTATACGCGAGCCAGGCCAGCCACAACGGGGGGAGACACGGCTGTGTGATGCCAGCAGCGCCGATACCGCCAGCGTCACTATGGTACGGATTCACAGTGATAGTTATCCGTGTGACGGCTGATATCTGCTTCCAATGACTACCTTGGAGCTCGCCAGCGCTGGTACTTCATGTCAAAGTACTTACTCTGTACGCTCAGCTCAGCTGAGATGCACTAGGGCCTAGTGATGATCTACGCCCCTTTCAGGCTTTTGCTTAAGGAGTGAGCATGTCCACACGGACGAATATCCATTTCCAGGGGCCACCGCCCTCGGTTTTGGCCGTTGCAATGTGGACTAGCAACCACGGAATGCGCGGGACGACCGGGCCCGGTTTACAGATACAGATGTTTCTCCTTACTTACTTTACAAGGTCTCATATCCCACTATCTCACCGCTATGCCGGACAATTCGATCCTGGCTTTAGAGTATCAGTGAGAATTAAAGAGCCGGACGCAGTCTCTATTTAAGGATATGGTTACCGAGGCTCATACAGGTGTTGACTAAGCATGAACTTTAGATTGTTGCGTCCAGATCAATCATAAGTAATATGACCTAGATAAGTTCTTTATCTGGCTGAAATATAGAGACATTATTATTATTATTTTATATAGTTAAGGGCTATTGGTAACTTATCTATACCATGATACCAAAGGAAAAACGTCAGAAACCTGATTCTGGCGGGATCTACACCAACTATCGGGGCTCCTCTAGATAGCATTGCCACAGAGAGGACCTCTCAGCCATTTCCGGGGGGTACAATGACTTGTATCTTCTAGATCAGAAATTTAGATTCCTGAACACTAGTTTGGCCGGCGGAACTCCCTAACCCTTTTAGTTGACGTAGTTCCTTGAGTGCATAGAGACTAAACTCTTCTTGTTCCATGTCTGTTTCTGCTAGCTGATCGTTGGATCCGATTATCTTGTTGGTATCTGGATCTCGATATTGTACTTCTGCCGCAGCGACTGAGGCCTGTCGTTTACCTTCTGCCTTGAATCAGTTTTTGAAGTAAGATATCAGAGCCATCGCTCTGTGGAAGTCCTCGGATTCGACTTTGGATCATTGTTGCCCGTCATACTGTTTTACAAGCAATGTCTTGCTCCATGGAATCGAGGGGGGGGGAGGCTATAATCCTAATTTAGTTCCAAGGAATTGAGGTAAGGCAAGCTTTAACAGCAACAATACAAGTTTCGAGCGGAGGTGGTAAAATGGGAAGACTAGATGGAGTAGATGATGGGGGTGGTAAAGCTCGCAGCCGGTCTCAGGTTTCAGCAGCCCTGCAGGCTGGTGAACAGGAATGATAAAGTCCAATATCGCCATTGAAATCCTCTCTTCATGCCGCCACAGTTGCCTGAGAAGGAAGAATTGAGTAAGATAAATTAAGATAAATCTTCGAAGGCCCGGTATACCATTCAACCAAAAGGTGAGCTTGCAATTGTAGCATAAGTGGGTATCTCAAATAACCAGTAGAACCTTTTTGTATCTTAGTGGGAACCAGAACAGTATTCTCGCTGGTAGTGGTTGCACCCTGATTGAGTCTCTCTTCGTTACCAGGCCCACGCCTTCAGAGAGTTGCCATTCAATGCAGATTCAAGCCCTAGTAGGGTATTGATTTGTGCTGATAGTTGCGAGTTGTTGAATCTTCGTAGTTGCTCTATCGGCTGGTTCCTTTGATGTTGCAGAAGATGGGTCGCTCGGCCTCTGAAATAACAATTTTCGAGCTATGTGAAGAAGTAGAGCCAAATATCTAGGTTCGCTCTTACGCGTAACGTTGTCCCTAGCTCTTTTTAAAAAAATAAAAAATAACGAATAAAAAATATTATTAGCAGGATTTCATGCGCAAAACTGTATACAGCGTTAATGACTCAAGGTCCTATCTCCCGCTTCACGTTCCACTGGCCTGTAAAGGGTAGGATATCAACAATGTCAGACATTCTCTGGAGTGCGGCCGGCATACCTGTTGTTAGGCTGTTGGCCCAACGAATAGTAGATATTTGCGAGCGACCCGTAGTTAGGCTTGTTGTTGATTTCTCTCTGGTGCCACAGGTACATGTCATATTCTAGCTTGGCTTTGTCCATGTTAGTCTTAAGTTTGGTTCTGTGTTATGACGTCCATTCACACATCGGACTCCCAGGGCCGATCGAGGCAGCTATTAGGGCGTGAAAGCGACGTATAGCGTTTCTGACCTAGCCGTACCATCTTTGTCGATAGAGGCATTCATCCGCAGAATATGTAACTCCCAACATGTTTTGAACGCGGGGATATCTTGCTCTGCATGCGTGTAGAGTAAACCGACAGAAGTAACTCAATGTCGATAAGGCATATTTCTTTCAGGGCCTTTGAATTCCGGCAATCGTAACCTCGTGGGTATCTATCAAATGATGGCAGTGTCATGACGACATGTTGATCCGTGAGTTTTGTGTATTTGGGCGGCCAATCAGCCGAGGCCCTCATGCCTGCAGCGAGGTTCCATGTTATCTATAACACACCGACATCATGTACCCCTGATCTGTTGGACCACAAGGGACCAAATGGCCTGATGCCTCAAGGTATCCTTGGGTAATGTGTGAGCCTAGCTAAAGTGGAATATCCCAATAAATCTTGACATTGGTAAGAAAGCAGACTTCAAGTGGTAGAAGCGGTAAGTAAGGGTGTAAAAGTAATAGGTTGTTAAGACGGCTATGCTATTCAACCAAGGAAGTTCTCAGATATAGGGGACAGAGACACGGGGTATCTTGATAGAAACTTGTCGACCACTTGAGGATGAGGAGTTGTAGAAGAAGATAAAAAAAGAAGAACAAGAGAAAGGCGGAGGAAGGCTTTATAGAACTACATGGTAGTCACTAAGCTGGACGTTATCACTATAGTAAAGTGACTTACATCAACCAGTGAATCTCCTCGTTGACTCGTTGATTGGTATCTTGTCAAGAAGTCACTGATGGTCGTCTGCCGTCTGCCGCGCGCATATCTCACGTGATGGCCTCTTAGCCTTTCGGAAAGTGGACACGCGACTTGCCGCGGGCCGAGGTTCAAAAATCAACGATATAAATGCAGCTAGGTAAAATAGGTAAATAGATAGATGAGAAGTATGAATTAAATTTCATAGATTGTCTTCCAAGAAGCTATTTAACGGTAATACTTTGGTTACCGGGTAGTATGTATATGAACAACAAGACGAAAGTAAGCCCTAGTGCCGCCGAGAATGTAGATGAGATGCATATGGAACGCCGCCTGCTAGCAACAAGATGAACAAGAAGAAGAAACTAAACTCCGTGCCAAAGAAAGCAAAGGATGGTGGGGTATGGCATGTATTTGGATGTTCGTAAAGGAGTGAGATGGCGCTTGCTTGGGTGCTGTATGGAGGTAGATGGTAGATTGTAGATTAGGAGGAAGAAGAAGGGAGAGCGACGGCGACGGCGACGGCGGCACCAAAGATGCCGCTTTCGGGCGCTGGGTCAAGAGATATCACTGGTATCTTGTCTGTCTCAGTCTCTGTCTGTGGCTCTGTTTCTGTTTCTGTCTGTGTTGTGCTAGAGATGGCGTCGACATCGGCATTGACGTCGACATTTGTGTCAGCATTAGCGGTGAGGCTGTTGAGGTAGTCCTGGCATGTACTTCTGAAGCCAGGATACTTGTTGATGACTGTGCCGTCACAGGCAATGGTGACAGCTTCGTCAACTTCGACATGAACGGCGTCCACGGCCTTGTCGAGAGTAAGGTCGTCCTGTGTCTGGATGGGAGAAGAGGCAGGAGACTCGCTCTCGTTGCGTAGACGCCAGAGAGAGTATATGGCTGTGGCGAGGTAGGCGGCCCCGCGTCTGGAAACACACTGGCAGACGGTCTGCAGGAAACGCATGTCTGCCGTTGAGGGGGGAACGGCAAAGGTATGGCTTCCCTTCAGCATGGCGGTGGACCTGTCGAGGGCTGGGGAGGTGTCTGCCTCGATACAGGCTACGATAGCGGTGTCGAGGGAGTAAGGCAGACGCATGGAGACGGGCAAGTCGCCGCCAAACAGGCCCGAGACAGCGACGGCCTCGACGATAATCAGGCGTACGATCTCGCCTATGTAGCGGCCTGTGATGAGGTATTCGAGCGGCTGGTAGTCTGGCTTGATGTGGGAGCGGTTGAGGTCGTCGTCCCAGCGGGTCATGGGCAGGACGCCGTCGCCGCCAAACATGCTCATCTCGGTGTTGATAATGACATGGCTTGCCTGCTCGAACCAGGATTCAGGCCTGTCTCCGAACTTCTCTCGCCCAATGGCTCGGGTAGGGTAGTGGATGGCTACGTTTGTGCCGGTGCCGAGGATGAGGGACATGCGGGTTGACGGGTCGATGTAGGCGCGGGAAAGCAAGGTAGCAGAGCTGTCGTTGACTATGGCTTCGATGCGGACGTTGAGGTGTCGTTTCCGGCACGCAGCCATGATGAGCTCGCTGAGGTCTTCGCCCACGGTCCCGTTGGAGCAGAGGAAGCCTTTGCCCATGCTGATGACCAGCCCGCTGCGGATGGAGGTCTGGTCGATGGGGAACGACCAGGACAGGCCCATGAGCAAAGGCGAGGCAGCGTCCAGGCCGAACCCTTCTGAGCCGGCACGCAGCATCTCGTCTATCTTGGCCGCGATCCAGTCGAAGAACGCGCGCCCTTCGAGCCGCTTGACGGGCTCGTCGATGGCGGAGGAGGCCATGCGGATGATGTTCATGCGGCCGTGGCCTGCGAGCTCGACGAGGGCGACGCGGAAGGTCGAGCCACCGACATCGAGGGCGAGGAACGTCCCACGCTCGTCGCCCCGGGGCAGGGTATGGTTGAAGGAGGGCAGCATGCAGACGGGGGAGGACTTTGCACAGCGGTCGAGCTGGAGGCGGATGCCGGCGGCCATGTCAGCGAGGCGGGCGGTGGTGAGGTGGCGGGTGAACTGGCGCTGGACGTCGGCGGCGAGGTCATCGAGGGAGCGTCTGCGGGCCTTTTTGCTGAGCGATGAGGGTCGTTTCTCGCATGCCCGGGCCTGGGGATGCGTCTGCGGGTGCGAGCTGAGCCTGAGCAGCCGCTGGAGGACGGAGAGGAGGTTGTCGAAGAGCTGGCGGAGGCGCAGGGCGACTTGCTCGAGGGTTCCCATGGTGTAGACTGTAGACTCTGAATATAGCTGGATATAGAATGTAGCTGGATAGCAATGTAGACGAGATAGAGACGAGGACAGGGACTATATCTATATCTGGGGCAGAGCAGAGACAGGAGGGTCGCAGTGATGCTATGCTATGCTATGCTATGCTGGGTGGTGCAGAGGACGAGCGGGTGTAACTGTGTCCACGCTCATGATGGACAGACAGCAAAGCAGAAGAAGAGCAGAAGAGACAAAGTAGAAGAGAAGAGACGAAGAAGAGACGAAGAGAAAAGAAACGAGAGACAGCGACGACGAAGCGAGTGGAGGCCGCGCAGGGTGACATCGAGATGCGAGTTGGGAGAGCACAGCACGCAGCGACGAGACACAGACGGAGCAAAACTACGCACTTCCTGGTGATTAACGGCGTAACGAGAGTAGCATTGCAAGGTTCGCCTTAGTAAGGGCAGAGGATGTAACCTGGCCCATCGCATGGAGACGGACGAGTCAGAGTCGCAGTCGCAGTCGCAGCGTGAGTTAGTGTTATTTAGTCAATAGAGTCGCAGAAGTTAGTTGGGATGATATTGGTGCTCAGGGGCACAGGACCTAAGGGGCTATTTACAAGAAGACTCCAGATACACAACATAACAGAGTAGGATAGGTAGAGTAACAGAGTAACAGAGTTATGATTCAAAGTAGACCTTGCTGCGACGGGCGGCCAGCGCCTTTGCGTCGTCGGCCAGCGCTGTGTGGTGCACGACGTGCGGCCGGTAGACGGCGTCGACGGGCGCCTGCCACTCCTCCAGCGCCAGCGGGAAGTACTCGTACAGCACGTCGGCGCGGTCCTCGTCCCCGTCGATGATGGCCGGCAGCTGGGAGTGCGAGTGCTGGGAATGCTGTCGTTGGTGCTGTCGATGTGAATGTGAATGCTGTAGCTGGTAGTCGTAGTGTGAAGTAGATCTCTGCCGCCGGTGCTGGACCTGCTCCTGCTGGTAGTCTCTCTGGTAGTCTCGTTGGTAGTCTCGTTGGTAGTCTCGTTGATAATCTCGTTGATAATCTCTCTGCTCGCCCTGATCGGCGTCTGGCTCGGGGATGGGGAGCGAGTGAGGCGAGCTGGCGTCTTCGTCGTTGAAGGTCAGCGTTATAGGCGGAATCACGGAGCTCAGACGGCGTCGCTTGCTCGACCGGGACTCGTCCTCAGCGGCCCCAGCGGCCCCAGGCATGGCAGACAGCGACATCACAGGCCGCTCCTCCGTCTTGACCGGCGAGTTCCTCTTAGCACTGGAACTGGGACCGGCAGCGGCAGCACCAGAGGCAGCCCGTGCGAGAGCAGCAGCCTGCGTGTTCTTGCGTGAGGCCGCCGCGCTGCCGCTCAGGGGCACATCCTTTCTCGACTGGAAGTTGCGCGGACTGCGGCCTCGCACGATGATCGGGCCCGACTGGCTCTCGCATATCGATATCTTCGCCCCCGTCGACAGCGTCGCCACGATCTTCAGCTTCAGCACGAAATGCTGCTGCAGCTCCCGCCGCCGCCCGTTGTTCGCGGTCGCTATCCGGAACTGCAGCCTCTTCCACGCAATCGAAAAGGTAGCATAGTCTGCGTCTGCGTCCTGCCCGGCCATCGTATCCAGAATCACCGGCGCCGGCTCTCTCTCCGCCTTGTCGTCTGCTGCCGTCGTCCCGGGCATATTACTGGCACCGCCGATATTAGTATTGCTGCCATTGTTGTTGTTGCTGCTGCTGCCTCCCGCGGGCGTCTTCCACGGCACCGAGATGATCTTGACCGGGTTCCCTTCCACTGACTCCGTCGCAGACACCGTCAGCTCCTGCGCCAGTATCGGTATCCGGTCCCCCTGCTCGGTCATGATGTATCTCAGCGTCCGCGGCAGCGTCACCGTGCCTGTGATCTGGAACAGATTCCGTCTGTAGCATGTCAGCTCGGCCGGGCCCTACTCCCATCCCTACTCCCGCCGCCCCCGAGGACGCTGATGCTGCCGCTGCCGCTACTGCCGCCGCCGGATTCACTGTGTCGCCGCCGGGGGAGGTCGTCCAGCTCGACTCGGCCAGGAAGAACATGCCGTGCAGCTGCGCAGTCAGGGTCAGCGAGGTCCGTCGCAGCGAGTAGTCCAGTAGTGTGAAGTTGTATGCCGGCACCGAGAACGACAGCAGCTTGTTGCCGTGGTCTATCGAGTCTTCCTCCGCCTGCTGCTGGCTCTGCGGAACCTGCTGCGGAACCTGTTGCTGTTGATGTTGCTGATGTTGATGCTGCTGAACCTGCGCCTGGTGATGCTGATGTTGCTGCTGCTGCTGCTGTTGCATGTCGACGTCGAACGGCGTTGCGGGAATCATGTCTGCGATCTCAGGGAACGGCTCCTCGAACTGGCTGCTGGAGAACCGCCGCATCATCGGCTGCTGCGAGTAGCTCATCTCGTCCGCGCTACATTCTCATTAGCACGTATCCTTCTATATTGTGTCCCCGCTTATACTGACCTGGGAAACGTCTCGTCGTAGGGCGAGGGCTGCGGCATCTCCATGGGCGCCATCGGGGCCATGAAGTCGCCGTGCGAGATCGCGGGCAGCGGCGAGCCCATGTACGGCAGCGCCATCGCATCGTAGCCGTCCATCACTGGCTTTTTCTCTTTTTATTATTCTCTTCTTATTATCGTAACCTCGTCTCTCGTAAGTCGTCGTCTCGTCTCGTCCTCGTCCTTGTCTAGATGATGGCGGGCGCAGAAGTAGGAGTTTGCCTCTCGCGGTGGCGGCTGAAGAGCAAGACCAGGATAAGCGAGCTCCCTGCGACTCCCTGCAAGTTCTTCACTCTTCGTCTTCACTCTCGAGTCTTCTCTTCCTCTTCTTCGTTATATTCTCCTCGTCTCGCCTTTTATTGTCCGTCTCTTCGCTCAAGTCATCTGGGGAAAAGCGCAGGAAGAAGAAGAAGAAAAAAAAAGCAGCAGGAGATCTTCCGGCCTAAACTTGCTTAGCCTCCAGCTAAGGGCTTTAACTCTTTAACTAACTCGGCCTCGTTTAGTAGATGAAGCAGACGAAGACACCAGCGATAGTGGATAGTATAGCGAGAGCGATAGTATAGATAGATAGATAGAAGTAAGTAGATAGGAGAGAGATAGCGATAGAGATGACGAGCAGAGGCCCGTGGAGGTGGACGAGCCTTGTCGCATCCTGGCCGCCATCGTACATGTAGGTAGCTAGATACAAGATACAAGATACATCGACTCCCCCGGACACCCCCATACACTCGACTCGACTTCGCAGGCTTGGATTGAAAGACTCGAATCGACTGGTCAGACCCTTGGCCTGGCGCTCTGGCTTCGTCTGCTCGTCCTCTGCTCCTCTCGCCCGTCGCCTTCTTCTAGAAGCTTTCCCTAGTCCCCTTTACTCCATCTTAACATCTCCTCTTATAGCCCGGGTCAGGGCCAGGGCCAGGGGCTAAGCAGGGCCTTGGTCGAAAATCCCCGCTGGTCCTCTAACTCGATCAAGCAGGTCGATAGCCCCCGTGTCTCCTGTTTGGGTGGAAGTAGACCGGCTGGTTGTTGATATACATATGCAAGTATAAGTATCCAGTGTATAGTTCAAAAGTATCGTTATAGTGACAACTGGACGCGGACCTCGCCGTCGTAAGTGAGTATAGTATAATAAGAAGAATCATAATAGTAGTAAAAAGAGTAAAACCTCCGCGTAATGCTACAGTTAAGTTGCCCGTAAACAAGGCATCAGTGCGAGTGGCTGCTACGAGCGAGCCCAGGCAGCGGCGTCACAGGTCAGCTCCTCGAAGCTGTGTAGCACAGAGAAGCCCATCGTCGTCAGGCCGTCAGAGTTGCCGTCGCCATCAACCTAGGAACACCAGCCAGTCGTCAGTCAGCACTCGGGTCATCAGTAATCATCCATCAGGTAACTGGTCCGAAGGCAAGCATAACAAAGCACAGCAAAAAGGATGCTAAGAATAGCGCAGGCTTAAGCGTATATATGTATCCATATTCATATCCCCAGGCCGGGTCGTTCTCGTACTCTGGCGCATCCTGATTCGACGGACAGGGATGCGCCGGAGAAAGACAAGGCAGATCGAGATAGCAGAAAAAGCCAGGAAAAAGAGACGAGAAGGGAAAAGAAAAGTAAGAATATGTATGTAGGAGATAGGTTGAAACTCACACAGTCGAGAATCACGGCGTTGCCGCCCTGCTTGCGGATCTCCTTGATGCCCAGCACGATCAGCCCTTGGACGAGCATGGCATATTCTCCGACGGACGGAGATATCACAGGCGACGAGATGCCGCCAGCACGTATGCGAGCCTCTCTCACGGCCGGCACCAGGCGAGCAAGCTGAGACCGCGCATTGTAGACCACCACGCTGCCCACCAGCGTCTCGTCTCTTGTTGTTGTAGTGGTGGTAGCAGTACCTGTCATGCCCAGGTGCAGCCCGCCGTCAAGCATCATCTCCCCGTCCCCGTCTTCTTCAGCGCCTGCATGTGCGTTTCCACTCCCGTTAGTGCCTGCGCTGATGCCTGCCGTGCTTGTTTCCCCAGCTTTCTTCGCCCGTATGATGCCGCAGTGCGGTCCTCCCGCCAGCGCTGTCCGGTACACCTCCGCCACCCCCTGTCGAGAGCTCGTCCGCACATGCTCGACCACCGCATCTGCGTATTCTTCCCCAAACACAAGGTCATACTCAACCTCCCCGTGGCCGATGCTAGAGCTGCTCGTGCCGGCGCTGCTGCCTCTGCCTCCCTTCACTCTCAGTCCCTCCGGCTGTGTCCAGCTCTGCACATCCCGCAGCACCATCGAGCACAGCGGCCGCGACAGCGCCATCGACCAGCCCAGTTTGGCAAACCACCGCCGAAGCCGTCTCCGCTCGACCGGGTCAGTCCTTGGGATGCCAAGGTAGACCCCGGGCAAGCGAGATCCCAGCTGCAGCTGCTTGACCTCTGGGTGTTGCGTGAGTGTTTGGATCGCTCGGCTGTGGAGTGAGCTGCCGATGCCCAAGCGGCGCCGCGCTGGATCGACCAGTATCGCGCCTATCACCCCGGTCCCCGTCGACTGGAAGAAGTACGTTGCGCAGAAGCCGTTGATCGCGTGCGTGCTGCTGTTGCGCACCACCAGGTGACACTCCTGCACATCCGCGCTCTTCAGCAGGAAAGTATCCGCACTCACACCGCATAGTACGCTGCTGCTGTTGATGCCCTGGTCGTTGTTGTTGTTGATGCTGATGCTGCTGCTGCCGATGCTGCCGTTGGTGCCGCCTCCCACACCCTCGCTCTCTCGTATCGATGCCAGAAGGGTGTCCAGCGCTGCAGAGTCTCGCTCCGTGTTCCATGTCTCGACCAGCCATTGCTGTCGTGGCTGGCTTGTTCGCCGGACGGTGCTGCTCTTGCTCAGAGACCCCGGCATCCGTCCGGTAGGCGACACCTCGCCATAAAGCACCCTCACCAGCGCCTGTAGTGCTGCATCCGTAAAGTCGTAGGTACACACATACGTCCCGATCGTCGGGTCTTTGGCAAAGTCGTACGGCGAGCTCACGGCCACCACCACCACGGGCTTGGGACGTTGGTATCCCGCTGAGTTCCGTCTCGCGCTGCCGTTGATGCTGCTGCCGCTGCCACTGCTGCTGTTATTACTGCGGCTGCTGTTGCTGCAGATGAGGGAGACGTGCTTGGTGAAGCCGTGCTGGTAGAGATTCCGGTTCGAGTCTGCAGTCACTATTACCACTGCGCTGGCCCGGTTGATCAGGTTCTCGTGGATTGGCCGCACGCCGCTGCCACTGTACGATGTGTGAAGAACCCGTCCGTTCCTCCGCCGCGCCAATGACCGTCCCAGCTCGCGGAACACGGCCTCCCCGCTCTTGATGTTGCTCGACACCGAGCTCGAAGAGGCGTCGATCGAGTTTGTTGACTCTCGGCTGCGTTCACCGCCGGCCTGGCCTGCTGTTACTGTTGCTCCAGCTGCCGCCGCGGAGGCCGGCAAAGGCTTGACCAGTGGTGTCAGCAGCAGCAGTTCCTCGTCTGGCTCGAGTATGCTGGACAACGGCAACAGGTTGGTCCTGTCTCTAACCACAGTGATCGAGCTGTTGTATGCCTGCATCGACAGGTTTGTATGAGAAGGCTGTAGTCTTGATAGCAGGCTGATTCCCGGCGGGTTCAGGGCCTGTTCCCAGCTGGTTCTCCTGGCCTTCATCGCAGATACCCTGGCCAGAGATTGCCGCACTCTTTCTTTACTTATCATCCCGTTCTCGACTCCCAGCCTCAGCCCGCTGATGGCTTCCTGCTGCACCGCAAACGACCTGCACACCAGCACCAAATCACATCCTGCCTTGAGAGCCATCACCGTGCCGCCGCCAACGCCGATATTGCTGCTCAATGCCTCCATCTCTAAGCAGTCTGAGACCACCACCCCCTGGAATCCCAGGTCTGACCGAAGCAGATCCTCAATAACCTCTTCGGACAGACAGGCATGCATCACGTTCATCCCGTGAGATATCATCGAGCAGCCGCCCACAATCATTGAGTCCAGCCCTTGAGAGATTGCGCTGCGGAAGGGGATAAGTGCACTGAGCCGGAGCTGGTCGACCGTGTCCGTGATGACTGGAACATCCGACTGCGACACCATCGCGTCCAGATTGCCGTATGAAGGGAAATGCTTCCCACAAGTAGCCAATCCGCCGTCCTGATACCCTTTCATCGATTCGACTCCGTACGTGGCTACTTCCTGCGGATCGTCTCCTACACTGCGCACTCCCAGCGGCTGGTTTTTGCCGTCTGTCAGCACATCCAGCACCGGCCCCAGGATCCAGTTGATCCCAACAGCTCGAAGCTCCTGTGCCGTCGCTTTGGCTACCTCCCTAGCCAGCTTCGTCGAGCCCGTGGCCGCAACCCCCATGGCGCTGGGGAACTGGCGGATATATACATCATCGAACAGGCTGTTGACACCTCCGTTCTCCTGGTCCAGTCCGATGAGCAGCGGTGACTGATGGCCGGCCTGCCGGGCGATAGTCTGAAGCTCCAAGACGAGCTTTGCCGTTTCATCTGCGGCTATCGGGGAGTTAGTTCTATACCATACAGCAAAGCCAACTAGCTATACTAATGGAGCATGGAGCACGGGGAATATGCCATGTAGGGTGAAGAGGAAGTAGTAGTAATAGCAGAAGAAGAAGGAAAAGTAAATCAACGCTCAAGGGATGGGATGATTGTACACTTCAGGTTCTTGGCTGTCAATAGGATGGCCCCGAGATGGTAGTCTTCGATCAGCGAGCGGATCTGAGGGTCGACGGTAGTACCATCGAATCCCATGACAAAAAGCTGTCCCATTTGCCTGTATCCAATATCAAGCACCATGGCGATGCCGTAAGCTTCAAGTCAGCCAATGTACCCTCTCTACAACGTATATTCTGCGTATCCAGCACATCCGGGCGCATTCAACGGCGCCTTTCAACAGCGCACGCAGCTGGAATATACCTCCGGGCTGGGAGGACATAGTTTCGCACAGCCCATAGCACCGTAGCAGTGGCCGGTAGGTATAAAGCTGCCCACGACCCAACCGCAAGCGCTCAACAGTACAAAGCAAAAGACTGTTCGACGAACCTGAGGTTTGCATCCCAGTCAGGGGCTGCCATCTCTGCTCTGGCCGCCATGGCAGGCCAGGCATCCCGTGCCTCTGCCCCCACGCCACCCGCGATGCGACTGTGTTCCGTGGCGTGTGTATCAGTATGTCAATGCACCGTTCCTCGCGCGTGTAGGCGTCTCCGGTGTGTATCGTCTGCGTGTGTTTCGCGCTCTGGGGAGACGCTGCAAATCGATCGATCGATCGGTGGGCGGGCGAAGTGAGACGGCGGAGTGGGTAACTCAGGTAGCCCGGAGCTGGACGGTGCCGGGCGCCCAAGGAGCCCAACGCAACCTTCGAGGACGACCTGTCACAGAGCCTAGTCAACTGTCACGGTCGCAGCGCAGGCCGTCAGCGCCCAAAATCCACTTAAGTCGTCTTTCGGGCTCGCAAAATGAGGCTTTGCAAGTTATCAAAATCGCAGGCGGACGAAGTTTTGACGTCGCGATAAAGACAAAAAAAGGGACAAAAAAGACAAAAAAGAAGCTCGAGCTTAAGAAGGTTGCTTAGTAAGGAATGAGTAAGGTGACTAATAAGTGACTAACATTATTAGTAAGATATGACAAAGGTGGATAACTAACGGATGACTAAATGATGACTAAGTTACTTCCTCTTTTGTCGTTCTCTTTTCTCTGTGACTGCCACTTCAACTTCAACTTCAGCTTCAACTCATGTCAATCAGACGCGGGACAGACAGCCAGAGTACAACGACGGCAAAGTTATCCCCCACACCATTTTTCGAGCCTAAACTAGTTCAACGAGTTAATTGAAAATGCGACGTTGCAGTGTAAAGGCTGCGTATTTACATTACAATGTAACTATGGATACAGCTCCGATACAGCCGGTACTAGCTCTAACTTACGGTTGTTTGTCTACTTCCGCTTGATACTTCGAGATGCATAAGGACGCAAGATAATGACAGCAAGACGGCAACAAGACTACAACAGGTTGGCGATGGCGTGAAGTCACGATCAACAGTGATATGGAGAGCGGCCCGGAGGGGGCAAGGCAACAACCTTGATCTCCGCTTTATTAGGATAGAGGATGAAGGACTGTCTTTGGGAGTAGGAGTATACATGTTTGATTGAGTTATCAAATGTATACGGAGTAGTATCATGCGCTCAGGGAAATGTTACCCTTGGTGCAGGTTACAGCAGCAAAGCAAACTATGATTTTGGGCCGAGATTGCTGGAGGCGGAGGGGATGACGTTCGGATTGTAGTCGAATTGGTGAACTTATATGAGCAGTCATCTCTGCTTTGTTCCAGCAGATATCCTCTCATTCAAGCCCAACCACTACTATAGATTGCACTTTTTCAATTAGAAGGAGTCAAGTCAAGTCAATATGTGAGTCCCAACAACTACCAATACACTGGATGATATAGACTAACGGTACCTAGGAGAGTGATCATTAGAAAAGACCCCGCGGCTGTGTCTGAATACATAGCAGACTATATCGTCAGTACGTTTGTCCCCTAACTTACTCTTTTACTATTCAACCCATCTAATGCATATAATAGGCCGTATCAATGCGTTCTCACCTTCGGCTGCGAGGCCGTTTGTGCTTGGCCTACCCACTGGAAGCAGTCCCGAGACCGTATATCGGATTCTAGTCCAGCGGTATAAAGCCGGACAGATATCCTTTAAACATGTCGTGACTTTCAACATGGTACGTTGCTGTCCCTCTATAAAGAAACCTCAAACTAAGGCTTGGAGTTAGGATGAATATGTTGGACTGCCCCGGGACCATCCGCAGAGCTACCACACTTTCATGTACAACAATCTCTTTGCCCACATCGACATACTACCCAGCAACATCCACATCCTAGACGGCAACGCCCCTGACCTTGCCAAAGAATGCAAAAACTTCGAGGCAAAGATCGCCAAAGCAGGTGGTATAGACCTCTTCTTGGGTGGTGTAGGTCCAGACGGTCACATTGCCTTCAACGAACCTGGATCCAGTCTCAGCTCTCGCACTAGGGTTAAGACACTGGCCTACGATACTATCCTCGCAAACTCCCGTTTCTTCGGCAATGATCTCTCTCAGGTGCCTCGAACCGCACTCACAGTCGGCATTAAGACCATCATGGATGCACGAGAGGTTGTCATCGTCGTGACTGGAGTGCACAAGGCCGTGGCCCTGCAAAAGGGTATCGAAGGAGGCGTCAACCATATGTGGACGCTCTCTGCTCTCCAGCTACACCAACACCCTCTTATTGTAGCTGACGAGGACGCTACTCTCGAACTTAAAGTCAAAACTGTCAAGGTAACGCGGCAACCCCCTCCATCTATATAATATATGCACATTTTTAACAATATCCCAGTACTTCGAAAGCATCGAGCTCTCTGGCACCGACGCACGTACACAAGGCCCTCCTCTCGTCCAGTTCACGAAGCCATATGTGCCCGTTGCTCCACCAGCAGACCTCGGCACCCCCGTTGGGTCTAGACAAGGCCTCAAGATCGATACAGCCTTCAATGGCAAAGACAGCGATCCAGACGAGCTTACGCCCGATAGTATGTCCTCACGTATTGTCGACTCTGCCATTGCAGGCCTGGACGAAACCATGCGTGGCGGAGACCTGATTTTCGACCGCATGGGTTCTCGAATTCCTACTCAGGTATAAACCGTTTTTCACTTACAATTTGCATGATGGGGAGGAAAGTGAAGTATAGGCTGGTCTTTCTCTTTTCTTCTCTCCTCGTTCGCTTTAACATACATAGCATTGTAGTATCTATCATTATATCCAAACTAGTTTGTATACCGGTCAATTCGTTCTGTTATGTTTTAGGGAGGCTTATGTGTGATGTCTATGATGTATATTATGTCCATTTCATTTGTTTTTAGCGTTCTGTCTAGCGTTACGTTCGTTTATTGCATTTTTTGGGATTCAAAAGAAAGGAGCATTAGAAATTGATCGCTTTTATCCGCTTTTACTATTTTAATCTCATTGAAATTTTCAGCGGTGAACTAGTTAACTAGTTAGCTAGTATAAGCCAGGCTAGGTATATCACCTTGTTGGCCAACAAGATCAGCATCCAACTTGTTCGCTACAGCTTCGTAAAGCTCGTCGCCACCACACCGCTCATATCAACCAGGGTGCTCTTCGTCCTGACCCAGGCCTCAATCCCGCGTCGACCGTTCTCAACGCCAACGCCGCTCTGCTTCCATCCGCCAACACTCATCTCAGCCGGCGACTCCCCCCACGAATTGATCCATGTGATGCCAGCCTCGAGCTGGTCAATTACCCGGTGCGCAAGGTTGATGTTCTGCGTAAATACTCCGGCCGCAAGGCCAAGGGGGGTCTCGTTTGCTCGTCTGACCACTTCATCGACGGTCTTGTAGTATAGAATCGACATGACGGGACCGAATATCTCTTCCTGGACAATTTTCATCTCGTCCCGGCAGTCGGTGAAGATAGTGGGTGTGATCCAGTACCCCTTGTCAAACGAAGCAGAAGACGAACCGGCCTTGGGCTTCTCAAGACCACCGTATAACAGCTTGGCCCTATCCTGCTCAATTCCGTGTTTGATATAATCAGTCACTTTCTTATAGTGAACATCAGACACCAAGGGACCGAAATTGGTAGCTGGATCCATTACATCCCCAGCCCGGACATATTGCATCTTCTTGACCAGCAGGCTTTCAAACTCCGTCTTCATGCTTGAGGGGACAAACACTCGCGTTCCGTTCGTGCAGACCTGGCCTGTACTAAAGAAGTTTGCTAGGATCGCCCCGTCAACCGCACTGTCTAGGTCTGCGTCTGGCAGCACAATGAAGGGACTCTTCCCGCCCAGCTCCATGGTGACGTACTTCATGCCTCCGGCCGCAGAGCCCGCGACCTTCTTGCCAGTGGCGACCTGGCCGGTGAATGAGACCTTTGCGATCGCCGGGTGTGCGGTGAGATAGGCGCCGACCTCCCCTGCGCCATGGACGACGTTGAAGACGCCTGCTGGGAGTCCAGCCTGGGTGTACAGGTCTGCTAGGATTTCACCATGTAGCGGAGTGAACTCGCTGGGCTTGTAGACCATCGTGTTGCCCGCAGCCAAACATGGAGCTGACTTCCACAGCGCTCTATCATCAATCAATTAGCACGCAGCTAGCAATGAGTGAGACATAGAAGAAGCCGGCTTACATCTGTATGGGATAGTTCCATGCTCCAATGCCAGCACACACGCCCAATGGAGCCTTTTTCGTGTAGACCCAGGCGTCGTCTCGTAGCTGTACCGTCTCGCCGTTGAGGCCTCCGCCGGCCACCATGCTGGCAAAGTATTCCAGCACATCCGCCCCCGTCGTCACATCGACCGTGCTCGTCTCCGAGAAGGGCTTGCCCGTGTCTGCCGTCTCAACTCTGGCTATCTCATCATTTCTCTCTCGCAGCAGCTGGACGGCCTTCAATAGTATGCGTGCGCGGGCAACATGCGGCGTCTTCGACCACGCCGGAAACGCCTTCTGCGCCGCCTTCACTGCCTGGTCGACATCTGCGTCCGAGGCCACACCGACGTCTGCTAGCACTTCTTCCGTCGCCGGGTTGACGGTCTGAAACGTCTTGTTCGAGGTGCTGGCCTGCGGCTGGCCGTGGTAGTAGAGACGCTGCGGCTTAAACGACATCTCGACCCCAACGGCTTTAACGACTTAACAACTTACAACTTCACGATATCGCACAACCAGCAAAGAGACAAGCAGCAAAACAGCTTCAACATCGAGCAAAAGCCGAAGAGCCCCTCCCAGTGATGTCACTCTGCATGCGACCAGCTTCCTTTTCGTCTTGGCCGTGAAGAAAAAGAAGAAACGAAAAAGGCCCATCTCCGAAGCCTCGGTTTCAAGGGCAGCCCTTGGGGACGGGCCGTATATCGTCCAGCAGATCTGGCAACGCTGTCATCCCACCCAGCGGAACAAGTGGAGGATGGCGCAAAAGTTTGAAACAGGCGGAAAAAAAAGAGGACCAAAAAAAAAGGCCCCTAACGGTCTCCCGCGTACCTCCGTACTGGTGACTATGGTGGTGGGCTGCAGGTGTTGCTACGGGCTAGGAATCCCCTGCGCCAGATCGCTGTCGACCCCAGCATCGACTCCGGACAATTGCTGGCCATACGAAGCGCCGTTTGGGCCAGCTCGATGCCATGATTTGCGCACTCGAGGCCCATGTCGAGTGCAGCTCTGCTAGCTAGCGATGCGCGGAAGCATGTACAGAGACTCCGGTGGCCAGGGATTGTATCTCCAACTCGCCGCCTGTGGAGACGCTGCAAGATGGCCGTGATTGGTGCCGCCGGGATAAGTCGATGGAGAAAACGAGCTGGAGGTTATCCAGAGTTCATTTCTCGGCGAGCAGTTTATCGCTTTTTATCCTTCGTTGTGGATGGGGTTGGTAGGAGGAAATCAGGCCATCTACAAATCTATATATATCAGGGGGACCGGCCGCCTCAAAAGGGTTCGTTTCTCCTGGTGCCTGTTCCATCCTTCTTGATATAAGTTAAATTACTGCCGCTAGGAGCTTGCTCGCACCGCTCTTTTGGATTAACGACAACTGCCGATTTCATACTTGCGCCCTTTCGCCTGTTCGAATTCGTCTATACGCACCGGTTACAATGGCCAGCCCCGTCACTCATCTTGCTCCGGCTGATGTCGACAGCTACGACTATGTCATTGTCGGCGGTGGTACTGCCGGCTGTGTGATTGCCAGCAGGCTGGCGGAGTATCTTCCGCGGAAGAAGATCCTGCTCATCGAAGCCGGCCCCAGCGATTACATGGACGACCGTGTTTTGAAGCTGAAGGATTGGCTGGGCTTGCTGGGTGGTGAATTCGACTATGACTACGGCACCACCGAACAGCCCATGGGTGAGTCCGCAGACACCAATTTTGTTCGAAGAAGCTGAAAGACTGACAGAGCGTGTAGGGAACAGCCACATTCGCCATTCTCGTGCAAAGGTGCTGGGAGGCTGCTCGAGCCACAACACCCTCATTTCCTTCCGTCCGTTTGAATATGACTGCAAAGTGTGGGAAAGCAAAGGGTGCAAGGGCTGGAACTTCGACACATTCACTCGTGTGATCGATAATCTCCGCAACACCGTGCAGCCTATCCACTCCAGACACCGCAACCAGCTTTGCAAGGATTGGGTGCAAGCCTGCTCGACCTCTCTCAATGTCCCAATCGTCCCCGACTTTAACAAGGTCATTCGCTCTGAGGGCAAGATGACTAGCGGTGCCGGCTTTTTCTCGGTGTCTTATAACCCGGATGACGGCCGCCGCAGTAGCGCAAGTGTTGCTTACATCCACCCCATCTTCAGCGGAGCGGAAAAGAAGCCCAACCTCACCGTCCTGACTCATGCTTGGGTGTCAAAGGTTAATGTTAGCGGAGACACCGTCACCGGAGTTAACGTTACCCTCCAGTCAGGGACCAAACTCACCCTCCGTGCCAAGCGGGAGACCATCATATGCGCCGGCGCAGTCGACACTCCCCGTCTCCTCCTGCTCTCCGGCATTGGACCGCGCGAACAGCTCTCCTCTCTCTCTATCCCCGTTGTCAAAGACGTACCTGGCGTGGGAGAGAACCTAGTCGACCACCCCGAAAGCATTATTATGTGGGAGCTTAACCAGCCCGTCCCACCAAACCAAACCACCATGGACTCCGATGCAGGTGTCTTCCTCCGCCGCGAGCCCATTAACGCAGCCGGATTTGATGGTGATTGCGCCGACATCATGATGCACTGCTATCAGATTCCATTCGGCATTCACACCGGCCGTCTAGGCTACGACGTTCCCGTCAACGCCTTCTGCGTCACTCCCAATATCCCCCGTCCTCGCTCCAGAGGCAGACTCTACCTCACCTCTGCCGATCCAACCGTCAAACCAGCCCTGGACTTCCGCTACTTCACTGACCCCGAGGGATACGATGCTGCTACCATCGTAGCGGGTCTTAAAGCAGCCCGTAAGATAGCCGAGCAGGAACCTTTCAAAAGCTGGATCAAGCGTGAAGTCGCTCCTGGCCCAGCCACCACTACAGACGAGGAATTGAGCGCCTACGGCCGAGCAGTCCATCACACCGTCTACCATCCTGCCGGAACCACTAAGATGGGTGACATCCAGAACGACCCCATGGCCGTCGTCGACCCAACCCTCAAGATCCGAGGACTCAAGAATGTCAGAATTGCGGACGCCGGCGTCTTCCCTGACATGCCTAGCATCAACCCCATGCTTACTGTTTTGGGTGTTGGCGAGCGTGCAGCTGAGCTGATCGCTGAAGAAGCAGGATGGCGCCCATCTTCTTCTCGTCTATAAGCCTTTAATGATGATGACGACTAACTGTTCTAACGAGTTCGGATGATCCAAAAAAGGTTCTGGTGTTTTTCTTTTCCATTTTCGAATATATATACCATCCAGGCAGCATATTTTTCTCTCTCTTTTTAACATTTCCTGGTTTTAGGGGCCCGATTTAGACCCTTGATATATAGAGAAGCAATAACGAATATCATGTCCATTAAAGTTTTCTCTTTAGCTCAGCGAATCTTCTAGTTCATAATACAACCTATGTCTATTCCGGAATTATCACCAACCTTACAAGATCAGTTTTACTTTATTGCCACCTGAGATAACTATATAATCGTGGCATCCCTCACATCAAGTATGGCTACGGTACGTGTCACACTACACATCGTGATACTTTACTTAGCGCCCAGATGGTGGGTAACCCTCTAAATTGTGACATTGCGCGGAGTCTCCTATATCCTTCTCTCCAGGGGGAGGATATTAGTGAGGAGGATAGACATCCATGGCGCTCTAACTCTCTCATGGCCCTACGAGCACCACTATTGAGGGTATGGGACCGCTATTCCGGCAGCCAGCCTGACAAAGAAACAAACCAGATGGTATCAAGATTGCCACGTCAGCGTCTAGATACTAAAGAGGCTCGTAAGCAATATCTGACTATCCATGCGGACCATGCAATCTGGGAGCCAACCCCTTTCATCTCATTCACAACCTCTGCAAGAGCTGTGCAGGAAATTGTAAATCTTAGATCTACAAAGAGAGACGCACAAACGATCATTGCTATCAATCCAGCCGTCCGAGCGGCGATAGGCCTACCTATTATTGACATGGGCGTTGAAATGCGTTGCTACGGAATACCTGACCCATACCACAGAAATCATGAATATTATAAGGATCATTACCTCTGTTTATGGGAAGTTACAGCGCCCGAAGTTATTGGATGTTGGGAGTGGCATGAGCTAGTTAGAAATAGCCATTGGTACGAGGAAATTGTCATCCCAAAAACAGAAGAACATGGAAGAAGATATTCGGGCGGTCGTGATGGAGATGGAGCATTTAGAATGTCGTCTTTGTGGAATGCTCTGGCCGACACGTACAATGGTGGTTACTCCGATCTCGGTACTCCATTCCATACAGACGGGGAAACATCAAGCGAAGACCTTGGACTTGAGAAGGAATCTGATTACTATTACTCGGACACGGATGACGATATCGAGGAGAATAACGCATAACGCCGCCGATGATATGATCAAAATTATTGAAGGAGATTGGAATTGAAATTAAAAGTGTGCCATATGCCAAGTTACTATGCCCGAAAAGTCGCTGGCGACGATGAGGCGCAATAAGGTGAAAGCTTTGGCCCATTGTGAGATAATAGCTGGGCCAGTTGCCAGGATTTCGAGGAAAGTGTGAGTAGTTAACTCTCAGGGGTTTCATTCACTGGATTATCTCTGTTTTGATAACAACGATATTCGGGGTGGAACTATATTATGGCTAAGAAATAAGTCCATATTTTACTCCTTGGGCTATTTCCCCGCCTCCTTGAAAACGCATATCGATTGTGATCCCGAGGGAAATCTTCCACTCCCGAAGATTCACTCTGACCTTCGTAACTAGCACATAGGTACTGCCTAAATAATTTGATGTATAGCAATATTAAAATTATATCACCTCATCTTATCCGGAATTAGGTTTTAAGCGACCCACAGTTGTGTTATCGATAAAACAAAAAGGCCATTTTCGGACTCGAGTCAATACCAAATTAGGCTAGGCTGAAAATTTTTCTACCCCTCATTCCCAAATTGATGCTTAACACTAACTATTTTGGGATGAAGCTTTGCCTCTTCTGGAACACTACCTATCCTGGCTGAGATAAAAGCAATGAGCGCACTAGACCAAATTAGGCTAAGCGGTAAACGAAAGTGACCTTATTTTGACGCCGAGTTTGCACTCGTTGAATTTCATTCTGTTATTTATACACTGTTATCATCTATCATAACATCATAATCACGTTCAGGGTAAGCTATAGCTATTTATCATGCCTTATTGCCGAAAACACAAATCAATGCAAGTGAGTGCCAATGCAAAAGTAAAATACAAGGGCGGGAACATCTAAACCTTCTCCGTGTCAAATACCTTGACGCCGAACTTCCACACCTGGTCAACGGTCAATGTGCCCATACCTCCATCTGCAGGCCTGTCTTCTCCAAGCACCACAAGGTCTGCATCTGCGCCTGGGGCCAAGCTACCCTTCCTATCAAGGATACCCAACATCTTCGCCGGAGTCTCGGTGACAGCGGCAATCGCCTCGACTGTCCTTGCTCCAGCCCATCGGCGGAAGTTGTTCACACACTCAATCAAAGTAGCGGAGCTTCCAGCTAGCTTCTCCGATCCCTCCAGAGTGAGCATTGCGCCTTGTTTCACGATTCGGTCGCCGTTGGTCCACTCATAGATACCGTCTGGCATACCGCATAGCTTCATCGCATCCGTCACTAGGATCATACCAGCTGGATGGGCGTTGTATGCTATCTGAATGCTGGTTGGATGTAGATGGATTCCATCCGCAATGATACCGTAGAACGGACGACGCTGTTCAAACTGCCCCAGAAGGCCAAAGATACCTGGATGACGGTGGTAGAAGGGTCTCATGGCGTTGAACATATGGGTGATCATGGTAGCGCCCTTTGAAACTGCGGCCATGGCCTGTTCGTATGTTGCATCCGAGTGGCCGATTGAATAGAGAATGTTCTGAGACTGAATTGTTGGTATGAGAGAAAGCATGTTGCCCACTTCGGGAGCGGCGGTTATCATCTTGATAGGCATGCGGCCCGGTGGAGTTTGGCTCTTGCAGAAGTTCTCTAGTCCATAGCATTGGATGACGTCGTTGACGTCGTTGGCAGCGATGAGAACTTCGGGATTATGTATGCCATTCTTTCCTGGGCTAAGAAATGGGCCTTCAACGTGAGCGCCGAGGGACTCTGCCCCATCTTCTGCACGACGGCGATGACCTGATGGTCCTAGGGATGGAAGAACCTACCTAGTATCAGCCAATGTTATACCCAACACATGGAAGAGAACATACCTTTGGATATACTTCTTTACTCTGGCTGGTGACGGTGGGCAAGTAGGATGTCACTCCCATTTTCACCAATGCCTGAGCAGCCTCCCTCAGTCCCTCATCGAAGATCTTCTTTGTCGGCTGGGGGACTGAAAAGTCAAACCCGTTTGCACCATTTATCTGTACATCGATAAACCCTGGTGCAAGGATACGCCCGCCCAGATCAATGATCTGGTCAGGACACACCTTATCCTCATAAAAGGCGTGTTGGCCCTGTAAGATCTTGCCAGTGACAGAATCAACCCAAAGGTCTTGCTCGATCAGCTTCTGCCTACTGGGGATACGGCAGTTTGTGAACTTGGTGACGCGGGGAACAAGGACTTCTCTGGTGATCGACGGCATGGCGTCGGTCTGACTTATACCAACAGAGATATAGAACGCTTTATGATGATGAGGAAGGGGCAGGGAGTCAAGATTTTTTGATTTGATTATTTGTGGTGGTAGTCGGAGGACCGAACTACGACAAAGCTCTTGAACCCCATGGGGGCGGATGTATTGAAGATATATTCTCAGATATTGTTTGCCATCGCGGACATTCCATTATTGGCCCCAACCTCCCTCCAATAAGCGGCTCACCTCGGGGCAGATGCCATCGCCGTTCTAGGCTGAGCCATCCATATTCCATCCTCTGTTCCATCTGGCGGAGAGCTTCGAAGTCGCCGTCGCATCCAAAAACCATTTGCTTGTTGTAGCGATGAAGTCATCAATGCGACATAAGAACTTTATTTCTCTGCGTTAAAGTGGGGTCAATACTCGAAACAACCGCATTACATGGTAATAAACAGTATCGTATGGTAACTCTCGAAAGCGAAAAATACAGTACTACCACGGTACCATGGTTCTGACTAATTGATCACATGATGCTCGATGCAACCAAAGAAGGAAAAAGGAAGTTTTGACGTCGCAGAAGACGACGACGAGGGCGGGAAAAGGTGGGTGGGATTGCGAGATATCATCACACACGCTCTGCAACCCAAGAAGATGATGTGTGTACTCTGTATACTAGACTGCGTGGTGGGGGACGATCCTGTGCGGTAGCTACTGAAGGGAGTGGGTGAGTGATACCATAGCGGGAAGACGTTACCGTCGTCGATATAGCCCCGAGGAAGCCTTGCCGTGCGTCCCCAAGAAGATGAGAAGACGAGGTTGTCAGGCAAGCTTTTGGTGCCCCAGATAGCCGCGAGCGCTAGACCAGGGACTGATCCGAGCCAAGGGCGCTTCCTGCAGACTTAGACGCGCGGCTAAACAGTCGATACCTCCACTATCTCGATACCTGCATGCAAGTGCATATATATCTCCCATTAAATGATCATGTATCTATCACTCGTATAGATACATATATATTTATTGTATAGTTGGAATTTGACACCCTCGACATCTTCCACCTATCTTGACTTGGTGTGGTTGGCAAAGTCCGCCGTGATGTAGGTAGATGGAGCGAACATTATCAACATGATAGCCAAAGATCACTATCAAAGCGGGACCGCCATTCTCTGATAATATACCCTAGATACCATATACCCTATAGAATATTCTAGCCATTCTAACAGAATGATATGGGCTGCTTTGCAGGACTTTCTCATCTTTATATCTGTCCTGTTGCTATAGAGATGGCTCTAAGCACACAATCCAGCCCCTTTGTTTGTAAAGTGAGGTGAGGAACTATGTAGAATTTACTCTATATGCTCTCTTTTAGCGCTATTCTCCGCACATTGTAATGTATGTGCTTTACTGAGAACTCTCACTTCCTCGCTTACCTCTTTTGCTCTCTCTTTTTGCTGTCCTCTCTCTTCTTCTCCCACAAAACCCTCACCTCCTTATTTACCTCTTTTAAACACCAACTTCCTCTTCCTTTCTTCCTTTCTCACCATCTTTCTTAACTACCTTCTTCCTTCTCTACACCTGTCTACAATCCGTTTAACTCTGCTAAACGCGCCGTTCACGGCTCTACAACTTCTCTACACAAGTAAGTTATCTATTCCAATACCATAGGGTCCGGACTCACACTGATATCTACTTTTTGACTACCAGCACGCATCAACAGCTTCCTATAAAAATGGTGTCTGTAGCTTCTGGGCCAGTAGCTTCTGGCCCGGATGCGGCTATCCCTATAGGGACTTACCAGCATACAGGCCCCCCATGGATGTATCGTCGGGTAAAGATTGGCCATTTCTATACCCCCTGGTATGCTTCACCAGTGGCCCAGCTTATCTTGGTCTCGTTTGTTTGCTTTCTCTGCCCTGGCATGTTCAATGCAGTTAGTGGTCTTGGTGCAGGTGGCCTTGTTGATCCTCGGGACACCGACAAAGCCAACGTTGCTCTCTACAGCACTTTTGCTATTGTGGCTTTCTTTGCAGGCTCCATTGCTAACCGTCTTGGACTCCGTTACACCTTATCTTTTGGTGGATTCGGTTACTTTCTCTACGTTGCATCTATCTTGTCCTACAACCATAACAAGAATGCCGGTTTCCTCATCTTTGCTGGCGCATTCCTTGGTGTTTGTGCTGCTTGTCTCTGGACTGCTCAGGGAACTATCATGATGAGCTATCCCGATGAGTACACCAAGGGCAGATTCATCTCCTGGTTCTGGGCTATCTTCAACTTGGGTGGTGTAATTGGCGCACTGGTAAGTAGCCCCCCCCTTTTTAATATTCAGACCACAGCATATGCTAACTTAGCTTTCAAAGGT